CGTCCATGTAGACCCCGAGCATGTCGCTAATCTCTCCTCGAAAGACTTTATTCATCATCCGCTAGTAGGTGGCGCCGGTGTTTTTCAGGCCGAAGGGTATTATGTTGTAGTAATAATTGCCCGACTCGGTCATGAAAGTCGTGCTCTGTTTGTCGGCCTCGGCCATGGGTATCTGGTTGTACCCCAAGTATGCGTCCATGAAGGATAGTAGTTTGAAGCCCACCGAGTTGTCGACGAGCATGTCGATGTTGAGGAGGGGTAGGCGTCCTTAGGACATGCCTGGTTGAGATCTGTGTAGTCAACGCACATCCTTCATTTTCCATTATTTTTCTTAACTAGTACAACATTAGACAACCAGGTTGAATACCGGGATTCCGAAATAAAATTCGCCTCTAGGAGGTCTTTTACAGCTTTTTCAGCCGCCGCCGACTTTTCGGGGGATGCCTACGCCTACGTTGTACTACAGTCCTAGCGGCCGGGTCGAAGGAGAGCTGGTGGCAGGCGACCTCGGGGTCAAGTACGGGCATCTCTGCGGCGCTCCAGGCGAAGAGATTGGCATTCTCATGGAGGCAGGTCTTTAGTTGCTTCCTCGCCAGGTCGGGCAGCCCCGCCCCAATCTTCACGGTCTTCGTTGCGTCTGCTCTGAGGGTCACGATCTCGAAGTTCCCGTCTAGAATGGGGCGCGTTGGGTGGAAAGGCTGCCCGTTGGTGGTGGGAGGGACATTGCTGGCTTCGTCCTCGTGGTTGGGCTCTTTGGTAAAATGATAGTCGAGGTCCACGACGTCGACGTGATCCTTCGGTTTGACATCCCGAATGGGGGGTGGCTTAGTTGTTTTGGTCGTGGGACCAATTGTACTAAGGCCCTTCATCGTTACATCGAAGCATCAACGAGAAGCTTCGGTATCCCCGTTGAGGGTGACGACGGCTCACAGCCTGGTGTAGTACTTCATCTTTAGGTGGACGGTCGACAACACTGCGGTAATTTCGGCCATCATTGTCCTGCCCAAGATGCAGTTGTATAGAGACAAGCATTCGATGACCAGAAAATGGACGTTGATTTCCCTGGCCATTTCCTTTTCCCCGAATGTGACCTTGAGCTCCACGTACCCTCATGGTCTCGTCGTCGTCCCGTTGAATCCCTGTAGATTGGAGCCTAGATAGGGGGACAAGTTGGATTCGTCGAGATGAAGCGTCACGAAGAGATGGGTGTACATGATGTCCACGGAGCTCCCCCCGTCGACCAGGATGCGTCGGACGTCAAAGTTGGCCATCTGTGCCCGAATTAGAAGGGGAATTTTTGAGTTGGGGGCTTCCCGGGGAGCTCCTCGAGGTAGAAGGTGATCGAGTTGGATCAACCTTGAAACTTGTCAAGCGTGCTCATCTTGCCGGAGTTGTTGCTTATAAGCTCGTCAAACTTTCACTTAACTGATCCCACTGAGAGTTTGCTCGGGGTCTCTCCAGAAATGACCATTGCCTTCGGGAAGTATTCCCACCGGCTGGTGGGGCGTACCGGCTCCTCGGGTAACTGAAGTTCGGCGGGGAGGTTGAACTCTCTTAGGACGGACCAATCCTCTGGTCGGCCAACGGTGAGGGCTACCTGTAGGCCTGAGTCGTCGCGGGGAGGAAGGAGGTCCTCGACTTTTTTAGCCTCGGGGGCCTCCTGTCGAGGCGGGTCTCCTCCCCGGGTGTACCTCTTCAGATGCCCATCTTTGACCAGAATTTCGATTGCATCTTTTAGGTGGATGCAGTCCTCTGTCACGTGACTGTGGCTTCGGTGGAAGCGACAGTACTTAGATTTGTCCATGTTGGCTTTGGTGGGTGTCGGTTTCGGAAAACGGACGCCTCTTTGGACAAATTCGAAATTCGCGCACTTAGCTAGTATACGCTCGCGGGAAGCGACTAGTGTCGTGTATTCGGTGAAACGGCCGACGGAGCCCCGTTGCTCGCGGGGTTCTCGGGGGCGGTCCTCCCGTCAACGGTCCCCCCCGCGGCGTTGGCCCGAGGTCCCTTCCTCTCGGGATCGCCGAGGGGCTTCTTTGTTCCTCGTGTCGCAGGCGGTGTTGGCGGCCTGTGCCCTCGAACCGGATATAGTGGCGAGCCCTTTCGAGGAAGTCTTGGAGGGAGTCTGGTCGGTGGATGGCCACGACCTCGTAGAATTTGGAGTCCCGACGTAGGACCTGCTCCATCAGGTAATGTTTCGTCTCGTATGAAGTTGTTACCTGGACCGCCTCCCTCGTAAACCTCTCGGTGTAGTTCCTGAGGGGCTCATCGGAGGCTTGGATGATTGCGCCCAGCGCGGCCTCCATCTTCGGATAGTGTCAGGACGTTGTGAAGTGCCGCGAAAACAGGTCCTTCAAGACCCTCCACGACGTGACGGACTCTGGTTCCAGGCTCTTGTACCACGTAATAGCACCTTTCCTCAGGGTCGTCGAAAAAAGCCTACACTTGATGGCTCCTCGGACGTTCCGGTAGTCGAGCATAGCCTCGATGTCCTCCAGATGGTCGTCCAGGTCTGAGGTGCCATCGTACGTTGAGAGCACGAGCGGTTTCTCCATCCCGTGGGGAATGGGAGCCGCCATGATCTCCCGGGACAACGGGGTCCTGTAGTCGTCCTCGTCGCTGAGGATCGGGGACAAGGGGGGAGGGTCTGTGTCGAGGAGGAGGTTGGTTCCGTACCCTTGGTTCCCTGACCGTGCCTCGGGTCTCCCCGTCCTCGGCTCCTGAGAGCGTCTATCCTTCCGGGTCGGCGACCTTGCTCTCTTCTTGGAAACCATGGGTTAGGGCCTCTCCAGTTGTGGTCGGCGCCCTCGTGGTTAGGGAGAGGGGCTCCGAGAGTTTCAGCGCTAATCTTCCCGCGGAGGGGAGCGGGACGAGGTGTCGTGCTCCAGCGTGTCAATGCGTTTGTTCTGCCGGAAAAGCATCTCGTTCATTTGGTGGATGGCCGCAAAGAGGGCGACCATCGTCGGGTCCGCGCCGGCCGGAGTGGGGATGGGCTGGAATACTGTCGGGCTCTTTGCCCGAGGGACAACATGGTGCGGTGCGTCCTCGGAGGATGGGGAGGTAGTCTGACCGTCCCTAACATCGGTCTCGCGGAGTTGAGATGTCCCCACCTGGCCGTCGCCGTTGGTGACGGGGGCGGAGTTGTGAACAACGTCGTCATGGCGCGGGCTAGTCATGATCCTGAAGTTTTGAGAGATGAAGCTTTGGTTCTCTGCTCGGAGGAACGGGGAAGCTTAGTTCCCACAGACGGCGCCACTGATCTGACTTGATCAGAAGGAAGTTAGTGACCTGCCACGTGCCGTTGATCAGCCACCTGTTCACCGGAGGTATGGGAGAGGAGGGGGTGGACCTACAAGGCACTCTGATGCCAAAGTGAGAGAATGGACCAGAGTGAGAGCAAATACAGAAAGAAAGTTTAGAATCGAATACCCGACCCTCTTGTGAAAGACGGTGTTTATAGAGAGACCCCAGCGCAGGGCCAACGATCATTTGCGTTGGGCTGGAAGGTCAGGCCCAACCCAAGTGACTGCTAGGGCTTATGTGGCGCAGTGAAGACCAGGACGTGGTCTTCGCTCTAAGATCAATTGTCTCATGATCTCCGGAAGGTGGGTTGGCCACCTCTTTCGGAGGTGGGTAGTTGGCTGATGACGTGACCCCGTGGAGAGGGCACATGGAGACGTGTGGAGGACACATTGTTCTACCCGACAGGGAGGAGGCTCCCGCCCGACGGTTGAGGTGCTCTGCTTGGCGAGGGCAATGTCTGGTCGACAGAGGTCCTGTGCTCGACGGAGCCCTGTTGGGCTGGTTTGAGACTTTCCCCATATATAATTGGGCTGGACCTGTCTAGACAAACCTGGACCCAGTCCAGAATATTATTATTATTATTATTATTATTATTATTATTATTATTATTATTATTATTATTATTATTATTATTATTATTATTATTATTATTATTATTATTATTATTATTATTATATTCAATAAGTAATTTTCAAAAATAAAAAGTATTTATTTTCAGATCAATTTATTAAATTTATAAATAAATAAAAATAGATTTATGGTGTCACAAAGGTATATCACAATAAACACTTTCACATTCAACTCAATAGAGACCAAAGATAGTATGAGATTTTTAGGGTTTTTTTTTTTTTTGAGTTTGGAGAGGAAGATTTTGAAAAATAAGAAGGATTAGGTAAAAATAATAGAAAGTGTATGGTTGATAGGATTTTGGAGGGTTTATTTTTATTTGTAACACCAACATTCCATAATTTAAGAAAACTTTAATATATAAATTTTGTTGTTTATAGTATTTTAAAAATTGAAAATACATTAATGATAAAATATCATTTTATGCAAAATCTTTTTTTTTTCCAAAACATATTAAAACTTTTTTTATATTTAGAAAAACAAATTTTCGAAATTCTCCCTTCCTTTTGCAATAAATCTCTAAACAAAACCTTAGGACAGTAAAGGTGATGTGCATATACAGTGTGTTGAAGGTGTGGTGTTGAACTTGGATCAGTCAAAAGCCATGCTTGACGAACATTCAATCGACGAACACTCATTTTTAAGCATAAACAACAATTATGATCGTTGATTTTGAACCATATGACACAATATAAATATAATTTTAAACTCATTAAATGAGACTAGAAGTTATCTTTATATAAATATGATTTGAGATTAAATTTCAATAAATTTATATATACAATTACTTAAGAACAACAAGTCCAAATTTGTATTCATGAGACTACAAGTTTAATGTTTTGGCTAACAAGAGTCCAACTTCTATTATTTTCGTTTCCATGGCGCCTGGATTTTTCTCCAACTTCCAGCATTCAAAACTTCAACGCCTCTGAAATAATTTATAAAATAAAAGCTTGAGGTTAGAATTGTCAAATCAAATATGTTATCGCATGCTGAAGAGGTGGTAAAACACTGAAGCGCAATTCAAAGCCAGCATAGAGTAAGTTTGGTTAAATACTGTAAGAAAGGAGTCATACCTTAGAAGCCATTGCCCATTTGGTACCCTCCCATTCCTGATGTACCCTCAACTCCGAACGTTGAAACTCCATTTTTTCATTAGAGTTCCTGAAATACACAATATATTTCGAGTCTCCAAGAACATTAGAAACAACCCCAACCCACCAACCATCATTGTAGTAAGCATCAACTTCATCAAGAAACTGAAACTGATATCCATCATCAGTTTTCGGTGGACGAGGCCTAATCTGATGCATATTGATTTCCTCTCTCAAAAGCTTATAATTATCATCATCATCAACAAAACTTTCATACTCGACGACAAACTTCAATCCTGCCTTTGGCTCAATAAGGGTTGCACAAAACCAAGCCCCCTGGAAACCATCTTCCTTACTACACACCTCAACCAAGGTCCCTGGTTCAAACTTGAACTCATCCTTGTCTCCAGTCACAGTTTCAGCAGCGTTCACCCTCTCCGTTTCTTTTATTTTACTATCATCATCCTATAATATTGATAATTAACAAACAATATTAGTCGTAAGACATAAAATAACAATGAAAGCTAAACACGAAAAAACAATGAAAATAAAAACACACCTGTTGTGGAAATGGTGGGATCCAACTTCCATTGACCCAATTATGGTGCCGCCTCAGTTCATCTTCCGGGTACGCTAGCTGCTCCGACCAGTCTTTAAAATAAACTGCCCACATACCGTTTTCAAAGTTGCCAGAGATGCGACCCTCCCACCATCCGTCTCTATCATAAGCATCAACTTCGTCCCCAACTTGGAGATCCTGGATGATCTCCTTCGGAGGAATTGGACGGAGCTGGGAAAGGTTCACAGTTTCTTGGACTCCCATTGTTCCCTCCTCATCCACCATTATTTTATCATACTCCACAACAAACTTGTGGTGGTGGAGACAACAGACAATCTTTCCGGTAAACCATGAACCGTAGTATCCTTCTACATCGTTGCTGATTTCAACTAATGTTCCCGGTCTGAAGATTGTGATTGCGGCGGAAGAAGAACTGGTTGTGGGTTTGGATGCCATGGATTATAGGGCTAGGGTTTCAACTTTCACACGCGGTGATTGCAGAAATGGTAAAACTTAAAAGAGAAAAAGGTGAAGTGAATGTGAATGTGAATGAGAATGAGGAGTGTCTTTTATAGCTGTTTTCTACCGTGTTTGGCGGCAATTAAAAAGGGTCATATATCTTCGCCTAATTTCACTTTCAAGTCAACTGTTGCTATGTACGAAATCTGTTTTTACCTAACCTAACTTGTCGTGTTTAGTAAAAACTTTTTTATAAAATATTTACACAATCAAATATAATAAAATATCTATATAAAATCATATACCTTGAATCTTTTTTGGTAAAAAAATTTTGAATTAAGATAAATTTAGTAAAATAGTGATCCTATTTTATATTATATTATTTATTTAGTCAAAAAGAAAGTAATTGTGATTTTTCAATAAAAAATATGAATTAAGATAAATTTAGAAAAATAATAATCATACTTTATATTGTATAATAAAAAAGAAGTATACGGTTTGGCCAATAAATGTAGTCTTTTTTTTAATCTAACCCATGTGATCTTGTATAATAAAATATTTTTATAAATTATAATAAAAAAATTAAATTGAGTGTGGTTTAATAAAAAAATATTTTTAATTGAAAAAGGTGAGACATATATATGTTGTCCGTATGTAAAGAAAATAAAACAAATATTCATTATTAAAATATAAATAGAGAGGAGAAAATTTTGTCATTGATAGATTCAGAAAATAATACAAATCTTTTTTCATTTTTTTTTATGGTGGTTACTAATTAAATCAATGGTGGTTGACGATTTTCTAGGCGCTTAATACATTGTTGACTTACCTTTTTATCTACTTTGAGCCTTCCTTTAATAGCATCTAAGGAATTCTTCGACTTTTTTCTTGAAGCTCAGCAAATTCTCTCTTTTTCCTTAAACGTACACATTTCCCACCTTTAAACCTTCGAAATGATTCTCATATGCAGTTAACAATGTTTGTAGCATCCTCATAAGTCAACTTCCAATCTCTTATGTCCATAGCAATTATAGAGAATGGAAATTAATGATGTATATATTGATTCATGCAAAGCACAACCTTCATGGTAGAATTATTTGACTCAAAGGTTTCTCTCCGTTTATTATTACTTTTTCTATGTTCGAAGCTCTACTCTCTTCGGAGCTCCCTTGGAAAATGGGGAATTACTTTCCTAAGATAAGGTGTCTATGAGTTTTCTTTTTCTAACCTAGTAGAAGATGATTGTGGAGTAAGATCCCTCACTTCCTAGAACATAAACCCTAGTGTTTTTAAATTATGTTGGATGAGAATATAGAAACAACAATGTTTAGAGAGGATTGAATAGATTCAAATTTCTTTTAGACAATTTGAAAAACTTTTTAGGTCCAATAAAACGAAATCGAAGATTTAACGAAGGGCATAAGCAAAATAAAAAACGAGAGAGTTTGAAAGCAGCTCAATGAATCAAGCCATATGAAATGGTACATGAGGTTTATTGCTTCTAGTGCAAGTCACTTACAAGTCAATCAAAGTCGCTTTAAACGAAATGATTTAAAAACACATTACTTAGATGTTCTTAAAAATGCATAATTGACTTCATGATGATTCCTTAAGATTGATACACCACACATCTAAATTTATAAACTAAATTGTTATAAGCACGACTTAACCTATATAGTATACAACCAATGCAGTCTTGCAAATATGAAACAATAAATATGAATACTTGTAAAGTTAAAGGATATGTAAACACTACAACAAAAAAAAAACTCGTATAACAACAGTTGTGAAAGATCTATAATAATGGTTAAACAACCATTATTAGGTAGGGTGTGGTTGTAAGTGGGTTATTTACAATCACGATCTATTGTTCGTGGTAGTAAACTGGATAGCGCGCTACATACAACCACAGTTGTATTAAACAACAGTTGTTGTATGTCTTTTAATAAAATAAAATAAAATGCAGCAGTAGAATAACAACGACAGAAAGAACAACAATAACAACAACAAGAACAACAAAAACAAGAAGAATAATAACAATAACAACATCAAGAAGAAGATGAACAACAACAACAACAACAACAATAACAACAACATTAAAAATAAGAGCCATAATAACAACAAGAACAACAAAAATATTAACAATAACAAAAAAAAAAAAGAATAACGACAACTAACACTGCTAACTTGAATCTATACTTTTTTGTCTCATTCAAGTTGGAGAAGAGATTATGCAGTTTTGAAATTTGTTAATAAAAGAAATGATGTTTTCGAGTTTTGTTTAATGAAGACATAATATTTTAGAGTTTGGTTTAGTGGAGGAATAGAAAGTGGTAAATGAAAGATGATGTTTGGAAGTAGAAGATAAAGTTCGTAAAAGTTGGAAATTCGTCTAAGTTTTAGGTTTCACGTGGATCACTAATGGTAGTGTTTTGAACATTGATAATCACTAAATGAACGACAAAGATTTGTTTATGTACGACAAAGGTTTATAACGCACAATGTTAGTACAACTTGAAAAAACAAAACTGTGAACAACACGTTACATACAACAATGGTTGAAACTGTTGTTGTATGCCTTTTAATAAAGTAAAATGTTAGTACAGGTTGAAAAAATCACACATAATCTCCACCATTTATTTTAAAATCTAACGGTTCACATTTATTCTCAAGTTATCACATAAAAATGGCATTCTCATATGATATGTTATATATATATATATATATATATATATATATATATATATATATATATATATATATATATATATATATATATATATATATATATATATATATATATATATATATATATATATATATATATATATATATATATATATGTATGTATGTATGTATGTATGTATGTATGTATGTATGTATGTATGTATGTATGTATGTATGTATGTATGTATGTATGTATGTATGTATGTATGTATGTATGTATGTATGTATGTATGTATGTATGTATGAGATTTAATTTGTAGTAGTTAGCACTATAATTGAAGGCGCTTTGTTCATGTGGGCTGAGTAAAGGTATTATCTTCATTCAACACTCATGATTATTCCTCCGATTTAGCATCAAATGTGTTAATTTTTTCAAGAGGTAATCATTCTATCACTAATCATGCATCCTTCTTAAGGATCACCTAAAGGGAAATTTTTGTTTTCCAATGCGTCTTGTATCGCGATTTCCATTCAGTGGTATCAGAGCCATTTGTGAAACCATGTATCAAATAGTTGTTTATTTTTTGTGATTTGTGTATTAATTCAAGTAAAATGTATAATGAATTAAATAATAATAATAATAAGAAATTAAATATTGTCATCATGTTTGTATAATTTGGATTTATTGTTGTAGATTATGTTTCGGAATTCGACGTTTGTATAGTGAAGCAGCAATATTTCTATCATTCATAATTGGTAAAAATGTGATTGATCGATTCATATAAGATATGAAAAATTTTGATGCAACAAAAGTATATTTGATATTTTTTTCCATTGATTCGATCAGTGTGATGAATGTGTTACATATGAATGGTCAATGTTCATTCTGCTTCGAAAATTTTCGTTTGTATGGAGAAGCAATGTCATTTTGATCAATCAAATTGAATAATCGATTGTTACAATTTTGATTATATGAATGAGTTGCATTAGAGTTTATGACGACAAAAGAGTTGTTTTGTCAAGAGTTATAAACTTAGGGTTTGTAAAAAATAAAAAATTATATATGAGTTTTCTTTTTATAAAATAATGATAATAGTTATTATTATTTTAAAAGAAAAAAGATTATGTACACTTTGAAACATGATACTGATCGCGATTTTATGTATGAGATTATGTACACTTTAAAAGATTGTCGAACTCACTGGGATTAATAATCAACCTAAAGTGATTTATATTGCGTTGTAAAGCTAAGGCTTAATGTCACGGAATAAAAAAGGACAGAAAAATAACTAATACTGACGAGTTTAAAACAAATAACGAAACGAGACCGAAGAATGATTTTTGCGCTCCTAAGGGACTCTATAGATTCCGGGTGCTAACAAGGGTCTCAAGTATAGTTCTGTAGGAATTGCCGGCTTAAAAACTCAATCTCACACTCTCGCGCTATTGACCAAGTCACACCTAATAACCCCAAGATTTTGCTCTCGCTCGCTCAGTAGTTAGTAGACGTAATTTGAAAACTAACAAAGCCTAACTGAAGTCTAAAGCGCTCTCGGTGTGTTTAAGTCCAGTGCTCAGTGTCTACTATTCGGTGATTACCTCAAACTCTCGCTCTATTGGACACACCTTAATGCATTTCTCACTTTCGTGACAAAACGCTATTAAGCGGCTTCTCGCTCTCACGACAAAGCAACCTAAATTAGAACTAGACACTAAAGCCAAATTATAAGACATGCATAATTAACATTGTTGGTTTTTACAGAGTCTACTTTCCAATGTCTCTCATCTATTATTATTTCTTCCTCTCTTTGCTCCTTTGTAAACTTGTATCTAGTTATCATATATAGTGATGTCGGAGGAAGTTATTGGTATATTTAATGTGTTGGAGGAAGTTATTTAACACTGGAGGTTACATATTAGCATGTAGTGTGTAATTAACGGCAAATAAAGGTAAGTTGGGAAACATAAAAAAAGGATAGAGCAAAATGAGCAATTCCCTTTATCTATACCTATATATAAAGGCAAACTTGTTTTTGGTGTAGCTTATTTTTGTTCCAATTATACCCTTTTTAATTTTTGTTTTAAATTTTAACTTTTTTTTCATTAACCTCTATATGGTGGTTTACATATCTCTTTCATTCTACTATTTTTTTATTATTTTATAAATAATTTAATTAAAAGGCAAAACTTGGTTTTGGTGTACTCTATTTTTGTTCCAATTATACCTTTTTCAATTTTTGTTTTAAATCTCAACTTCTTTTTCATTAATCTTCTATACATCTATACAATATATAAAGGGAATACTTTGTTTTGGTGTGGCTTATTTTTCT